TCCGCTGATCATCTCAGCACACAGATGGCCAGTATATGAAGGAGCGATGTCAGCCCTTCACTGGCGATCTGTGTTCTCCCTGCAGATTCTCCAGCCCAAGCTGAAGAATCGGAGGAACCGCAAACAAAGCAGCGATAATTTACCTCTGCTTAGTAAACGGTGTTTGACTGATCTCTTACTGTAATCTCGCGAGATTATAGTAAAAGCAGCCGGTGTCCAGCGTTTGTAGATCGTTCTCCCTTCGTTTGGAGAACTGATCTACACCGCTTCATAAAAGGCATTCACAGGAGAACTGTCTTCTCTGAGAATGCCGGAGAACTGAGCAGCGGTAATTTCCCACTGCTTGATAAGAGGACACCCAAAAGTGCAGTTAGACCGTAACAATGTATAATGTGAGGTCACACTGTGTGAGGTGAGCAGATATATGGTGGAGGATGTCTTTGCATGGGAATTGATGACAGATGCAGATATTTTTCGCTATCCAAACGAGGGTTCACTGAATGAACACTATTGATTGAACTTGAGTGTTTGAATTACTTTTGTTTGATTCATACTTTAACATATTTTTATTTTTTGTGTCGTTTTTTTTTTTATATATATATATATTTTTTTTTTTTCTTTTAATATTTTTTTTATTATATATATTTTTTATCACTTGGTTTTTTGGTTATATAAGGATTGTGCTATTGTTTCATGTAGCGCAGCATTTTTTCACTTCACAATATAATTTGCCCCACTGAGACATGGGTTGTGTGCACTAGCGGCTACAGTACTTATACATTTAATTTTAATTTTTTTTGTTTTAATTTCACCATAGTTAGCGCTTGAGTTATTCAATTTATTTTAGATAACCATAGTAATAATGATGATGTTTCACTGGTTGACAGAAAGCGAGGTAAAAAAAAGAGAACAGAGAAATTTAACAAGAACAGATCACCAGGTCCTGATTGCTCACACCCTTGAGTCCTTAGGGGAACTTAGCTCAGTTATAGCCAAGTGTTTTTTTCTAATTTTTAGAGACACCTTACTGACTGGACTGGTACCAACTGATTGTTGTACAGCAAATGTGGAATCAATTTAAAAAAAAAAAAAAGAAGATCAAGATGCATACCCAGACATTACAGATCAGTCAGCCTAACATCAATAGTATTCAAGGCATGAGTGTATGGTAAGAAACTTTATACAGAAATTTGTCTGTGATAAAGGTATCATAAGTGACATCCAGCATGGACTGATGGAAGACCGTCCTTTTAGACCAACCTGTTATCAAATTGTATGGTGGATGTCCAGTTGATCTAGATTAGGGCAGACAACCTTTTTGAGGTGAAGATCTACCATGTCCAACATGGAAGAGAGAAAAGATCACCAGCTTGCTGCTAGTTTAGTTCACTAGTAAGCCCCCAGAGGTCAGTAGTGGGTAGGGCAGTGTTCAGCGGTCAGTAGGATGTAGGGAAGTACAAATGTAAATAGCACGAAGGGCACTGTACAGAGGTCAGTAGTGGGCAGGGCAGTGTACAGAGGTCAGTAGTGGGCAGGGCAGTGTCAGTACAGGGCAGTGTACAAAGGTCAGTAGTGGGCAGGGCAGTGTACAGAGGTCAGTAGTTGGTAGGGCAGTGCACAGAGGTCAGTAGTAGGGCAGTAGGGAAGGTATATAGAGGTCAGTAGTAGGTAGGGCAATATACAGAAGTCAGTAGTAGGTAGGAAAGTATACAGACGTCAGTAAGATGTATTGTAGCACACAAAAGGTCAGTAAGATGTAGGGCATTGTACAGAGGTCAGTAGTATGAAGAGCACTGTACAGAGATCAGTAAGGCTGACGACACGGGTAAGCAGGACAGGGATTAGCAGGGCAGAGAACAGGGAAAAAGACTAAGGCAAGGACAAGGGGTCAACAAGGCAGTGTAAAGGGAGGGGGTCAGGAAGGCCTGTTACATGGGGATCAGAAGAGCCTGGTAAGGGGGTCTGGAGGGTATGGAACTGGGGGTTCAGGAGGGAATGGTACTGGGTAGTCGGGAGGGTTGGGGGGTTGGAAGGGCACACTACAGTGGTCTCAGGAGGGCATGGTACTGAGCATTAGGAGGGCATGGTACTGACTGGTACTCATTTGAATGAACTGGAGAGGACAACCAGCAGGGATTAGTGCACTGCACTCACAGGGACAAAAACCCAAAAAACTATGGATAGTGAATCTTGGGAGTTATTACCCTTCCCGCAGCCGCACATGAATGGGGTGTGCTGTAGGGTGGGGAATGCCTCTGCCTCTTGGCTTTGGCTGCTTCCCAGCTTGAGAACTCAGGTGACAAGACACTTGAGCTTATACCTTTTCTGCACTGCTCTGCCAAGTGGTGGGGGAAAGGAGCACTTACCAGTCAGCAGGGCAGGGACTCGACTGCAATCGGTCACCTGCCCATGTTCGACAGGTGGATCATGATCGACGGGCTGCAGATCCCTGATCTATATTTTGCTAAGGTATTTGATACCGTACCTCATAAACCTCTCTTCTATAGAATAAGGTCTGTTGGAATTGAGGAAATTGTCTGTACATGGAGAGGAAACTGGATACATGAACAGTTTCAGAAAGCAGTGACTCATTCTCTGAATATTCTAAAGTTGTGAGTGGTGTGCCCGGGTTCTGTCTTCGGCCCAATTCTGTTCAATTTGATTATTAAACAGAATTGGGCCGAAGTTTAGAATCAAGAGCTCAGTTTCAGTGTTTGTAGACGATACCAAATTATGCAGGGAAAGAACTTTGACACAGGATGCACCATTACAGGAAGACCTTAATAACATAAGGTGTTGGGCAGCTACCTGGCAGATGAGGTTCAGTATTGAGAAATGTAAAGTTATGCACTTGGGTGCCAAAAATACACATGCAAAATTACACATTGGGGGAGCACCCCTTAGGGTTAGAAGAAATGAGGATTAATTTAAATTAAAATAACAAACATGTTATACTCACCTGCTCTGTGCAATGGTATTGCACACAGTGGCCCCGATCCTGCTCTTCTCCGGTCCCCCACTGGCAATCTTGGCTCCTCTTCTTCATGTGTCCCCATAGCAAGCCATTTGCTATGGGGGCACATGCTGTGTGCTTGCTCCGGAACTGTGTGCCTACAGAGCCATGCTCCATAGACACACAAAGCAGGACTTATCCTCTTCGCTACATTTGATTTACTGCAGCAAGAGCCATAGGCTCCTGCTACTGTTTGAGTCCCTGTGTGAAGAGGAAGAGAGGGAGGAAGAGATGCAGATGTGCAGTGCTGATCTCTTCTTCCCTCTCTTCACCTTCACACAGGTAAGGGGGAGCACAGACAAATAGAAACATTTTTTACCCTAATACAAGCAATGCATTAAGGTAAAAAAAAATGTTTTTTTAGGTTTAGTATCACTTTAACCTTAGATTGTGGAAAGAGTTCTTAACTCTTACAGCAGTAAAATCTTGAAACTTCCTCCCTAAAGAAGTGGTACTAGCTGAGAGTATCGACAACGTCTAAAAACTTTAACCTGTCTCCCTCAGGACGCAAAAATACTTTGTTTTTGACATTCAATTACAGAATGAATGTAATTTCCCAAATGAAAACAAAAAGTTCATTCATTTGGGAAAACTTTCCATCCTGATCCTTCAAATCTTCTCCTGACCACGGTTGAAAATGAACATTGATTTGATCCCACCAACTATTTGAAAACTGAACAAAGGTTTCAAAAACAAATTTTTTTTAACAAAATCCTTCTAGTGCATGGCCAGCTTTACTCATCCTTTATCTACTCCCAGCTCAGTCATTCACTGAAAACATCCAAATGAAGAAATGCTTTCATGTTTATAAAAGCAGGTACTGTTTAATATCCACACAGTATGTTAATTCCCTAGTAATTCTGGTTATAAAAACATTTCCTTACAGATTATACTTCACTGTAGATTATACTTTTTATTATTAAACACAATCCAATTTTACATATCATATGTTTACCAGATAATTCTCTCCATGTTTTAATTTCAGCATCTGAGTCACTTCTCGCAGGTTGTGGAGGTACGTTTCATTGGAGCAGTTACTTGAGAACGACATGGAGATAATCCGCTCTGTGATAAAGGTGAGGTCAAGTTCTCCTTCCTCCATGTTGCAATTAAAGTCCACGTTTTCTGCAATTGAAAAATTAAGTATATTAATATTTTTTCTTTAACCCCTCGCCTACAGGGCACTTCTACCCCCTTCCTGCCCAGGCCAATTTCCAGCTTTTAGCGCTGTCACACTTTGAATGACAATTGTGCGGTCATGCAACACTGTACCTATATGAAACTTTTATCATTTTGTGAGACAGATAGAGCTTTCTTTTGGTGGTATTTAATCACCTCTGGGTTTTTTATTTTTCTTCTTAAACAAACCAAAAACCATTGAAAATTTTGAAAAAAAAACAATGTTTTTTCTTAGTTTTTGTTATACAATTTTGTAAATAAGTGATTTTTCTCCTTCACTGATGTGCGCTAATGAGGCTGCAGTGATGGGCACTGATAGGCTGCACTGATGGACACTGATAGGTGGCACTGATGATGAGGCACTGGTAGGTTGCACTGATGGGCATTGACAGGCACCACTGATGGGCACTGAAAGGCAGCACTGATACATGACACTGATATATGGCACTGATAGGTGGCACTGATGCGCACTGATAGGCGGCACTGATGCGCACTGATAGGCGACACCGACTGGCACTGATAGGTGGCACTGATTGGCATTGATAGGTGGCACTGACTGGCACTGATCGGTGACATTGAAAGGCAGCTCAGATGGGCACTGATTTGTGGCATTGATGTGGCACTGACACGTGGCACTGATGAGCACTGACTGCTAGCACTGATGGACACTGACAGGTGGCACTTCTGGGGCCACACTGATCATCAGGGCACACTGATAATCAGTGCCCTGATGATCAGTGTACATGTCCCCCTCCGTGGAAAGCCGATTACCAGCTCTCCTCTCGAGCTATCAGCGTGACAGCTCGTGAGGAGAGAAATGCAGATAACCGGCATTTCCCTGTTTACATGCGATCAGCTGTGATTAGACACAGCTGATCACATGACCGAGCCGACATCTTCGGCTCTTTCCGTGATCCGCTGTGTCCAAGGGACTCAGCGCACCAGCGATCACCGCGCTGCGCTCCCTGAACCGCACATGCGCGGTGAGAATGGAAGGACGTCATATGAAGTCCTATCCGAACGAGAGAACCATCTTGTGCCCGTCATTGTAGTATAAGGTGGTTAAATTCACTTTAAAATCATTACAATATAAATACAATACAAATAAACTGTTGTTTAACCAGACTTTTTGAAGAAAAAAATCTTGAAGAATAAAAGCATAAGCATTACCAAAAGTTGCAATAAGAATGTAATACTATAATCAATAGAAAGACACCCGAGCCCAACAAATGTGAGCTAAAATAATGTTTAATAAGGTTTAGCAGCTAAAGTATGTTAAAACAAGCTCAAGGCCTGTGATGACTGACAAAATTGTATAAATAAGATGCTGCTAAGAAAGCAGCAAAGAAAGTATGTAAATTATAATTATTATACATAAGGAGTTGTTATATAATTTACAAACTCCCTTTGTTATGGAAGAGCACAAGAGCACATTTTACTTTGGACATTTAATTTGCTTATATATGATTTATTAGCACTATTTTATTTATACATATTTTGTCAAGAATGTAATACTGATTTGGTGAAGCCTGTCTTTTTCTGGTAATTTCTATTGGGTTTAACAGTCAGTGTAAACAAACGTGGCAAAAAGACTTGTAGATAAAAAATGGGTGGAAAACGGTCTTACATAGAATCATTGTTGTATAGGTCCTGTGCTGCTTGATTTGGTAAGAGTTGCTTCCTACAAAAGGTATTACATAGTCATTTAAATGCATTTACATTTATGTTGAGAGCTGCCTTTTATCAAACTGCACAGTTTTAACCGTAAACCGATATGTTTATAACTGAAACAGAGAAAGTAAAAGGTAGGGGATGTGAGGGAGGGATAGAGGAAATTGGGAACATGGGGAGAGGGTATGACTGGGTGAAGCAGCAAACAGACTTAAGAGAATCAGGGTTTATCTCCTTTCTCCAAAGGCTGAGGAAAAGGATGAGTTATATAGTTTCAAGAGACAGCTACAAATTGGGTGGTAAGCAACATTGTAACCACGGGTTTCATAATTTTGGAAATTTGGAGGTACATCCATAAGTTTGGTTTATAAAAGTCTGTAATCTTTTAATTGATCACTGTCCAGGCCATCCAGTTTTTAGATTAAGCAAAATTCAGGATTTGTGTCACCACACTTTGAATCTCATCTGTTTGGTTGCTGTTAATATGTGGGCCTGAAATTTAAAGTGTTACTAAAACCCAGGACCCTGCATTCACTATATCTGGTCTCCCACAGTACACAGAACATGGAAATGCAATTATTTTAGTAAATATAAACTGCTAAATACCTTTTCTCATCAGCAGTTATAGCAGTCTTGTGACTTCAGCTGAGCACTGGTTAAAGCCTGTAGGAAGAGTTTTCTTTCTGCTCTAGGAGGATGTGAAACCTCTGACCCTCTGTCTGGACAATGCTGATTAGCCCTGTGCTGATCACATGCACTCTCCCAAGAAAAAAAAAAAAACACCTCTCTAGCAATACACACCAAACTGAGCATGTGCATGTGACTATGGATTCCTTCTGTAAAAGGTGACATTTCAACAAGAGGAGGGGCAGAGAAGTCAGAATCAAACAGCCTTTTTACACAATGCAGAGTATTCACCCCTTAGGTTCCACAGTGAGTATAACAAGCATGCCTTACTACATCTACAGACTGATTTTACTGTTATGGGTTTAGTAACACTTTAAGATCAAACTAAAGCTGGCCATACACTGCTAGCCAGCAGGCTGAGCCAAGGAAAAATAAACAGATTTCTCCATCTACACAAAAGAGGTGGATAGTAGGGCGCATAGTATACGGAAAGGTAGACCCGCAGCTGTCAGAATACATTGATCAGTGGCTGATCCGAGAAGTTTTTTTCCAGCATGTCCCTTCAACAGACTTCTGCTTTGACTTCTGCTGAGCATGGATAGCCATACACCAATCAAAATTCATCTGATCCCTGCTGAAATGGCTGAACTTTGAGCAGGTGTATGGCCAGCCCTACTCTGGAGCAAATTTGACTCTGCACAGGAACCAAAGACCAGGCAAACTTTGCTAAGTATCTTGCATTTTAATTCTCCTCACTGAAAAAATATTAATTGAACCCTTTACATTCGTGACTGGGTATGGCGGCGAGTGTCATACATTTCTTGAAGTTCAGAACAGTTACAGCCGGTGTTGCATCAAAAAAAAACAGAGTGACAGCTATGGCTGTAAATAAAGAGTTAACTGCAGAGTTAACGAACTCCAACAACAATCACTCACAGTCTGTTGGTACTTTAGATTGTTTTCCTGCAAGCTGGAAAATCTGTGTGTAGGTTGAGGCTGAGAGTCTAATCATCACATTCTGACAGCAGCCGCGAGCATGAAACTGCTGTGGTCACAACGAACAGACTGAAACGTAAAGGTTGTTTATTAAAAAAAATAGCTTGTATAGCTAATGCATATATCAGTGGGTTTTCCTTTAACCACTTCAATACCGGACACTTTTTACCCCCTTCCTGCCCAGACTAAATTTCCAGCTTTCACTGCTCTCACAATTTGAATGACAATTACTCAGTCATGCTACACTGTACCTCAACAAAACTTTTATCATTTTTTTTCACAGAGACAGAGCTTTATTTAGGTGGTACTTAATCACCACTGGGTTTTTTTTATTTTTTGCGAAATAAGCAAGAAAAAAAAAAAAAAAGCAAAAATTTAAAAAAAAACAAACACTTTTTTTTTTAGATTCTATTAAAAATTTTTGCAAATAAGTACATTTTCTTCATAAATTTAGGCCAACATTTCTTTGGTACAAATAACCCAAATCAGAGTATATTATTTAGTCCAGGGCTTGAAAAAGCCGCTCGCCCACTCGCCAAATGCGAGCAAGCGGTGAGCACAGATGAAGCATGGAGTGACTGCACCTGCGCTCCAAGCCTCATTGTGAAGCAGAGTTCCGGTTTACAACTTCCGGTTTCCGGCTTCTGCACCACCGCCGAGGGGACAGGTGCAGGAGAGGTCCGCTCTCTTCTCTTCCGCTGAGAGGACAGTAAGTACAGTATACATGTCCTATCACTATAATGGAGTACAGGGGAGCTGGGATATACATTACTGTGTACAGTTTTATATTTTGGACTATTTATTCTAAAAGAAAAATGTAATTTCATAAGCTTTAAGGGGGCGTGGTTGGGGGTGGGCCGGGGTGGGGTTTGGGGCGGACCTGGGCAAGGTTGGGTGGGGCAACTGGTGGAGATTAAGTTTTGTGACCGGCTAGTAGGTCTGGACTCGAAATTTTAACCCCTGATTTAGTCTGTGTGAAAGTTTAAAAGCTATGGTACCAATCATTGAAAAATTGATCACACCTGATGTACTGATTACCTCATTTTTCTTGAGGCCCTAACATGCCAGGAAAGTACAAATACCCCCTCAAATTGCCCGTTTGGAAAGTAGACAGTCCATTTTTTTCCATAAATTCTTGGGGAAAATGAAGAAATTAATTTTTTTTTTTTAAAACAAAACTGGCATATTAAGTTTATTTCTCACACAGGACATAGGCATACTTGCAATTACACCCCAAAATACATTCTGCTACTCTTTCTGAGTATGGCGATACCACATATGTGAGACTTTCACAACATGGACACATACAGAGGCCCAACATCCAAGTAGCACCATCAGGCGTTCTAGAGGTATACATGACACTTAATTTCCTGATTACCTATCACATTTTTGAAGGCTCTGGAGCATTTGGACAATGAAATTATCCGCAAAATGACCCCATTTTGGAAAGAAAAAACACCTCACGTATATTCTATGAGGCATATTGAGTCTTTTGAACAAACATGTCATTTTTTTTTCCACAAGTTTTTGAAAAATTTGGAAAGAAAGTGAAAACATTTTAATTTTTTTTTTTTTTTTTTACACAAAAGTTGACAATTTATAAGATATTTATAACATATAGCATGTACATACCAAGAATTACACCCCAAAATATATTCTGCTACTTGTCCTGAGTTTGGTGATACCACGTCCGGCCACGTAACGAGGCCCAACATCCAATTAGCACCATCAGGCGTTCTACAGGCATAAATTACACATCTAATTTCCTGACTACCAATCAAATTTTTGAAGGCCCTGGAGCACCAGGACAATGGAATTACCCACAAAATTACCCCATTTTGGAAAGCAAACATCCCAACATATATTCTATGAGGCATAATGAGTCTTTTGAACTTGTCATTTTTTTCCCACGAGTTATTGAAAAATGTGGAAAAATTTTATTTTTTTATTTTTTTACACAAAGTTGTGAATGTAGAAGATATTTCTAAAAGCACAGCATGGACATACCAAGAATTACACCCCAAATTACATTCTGCTACTCCTCCTGAGTATGGTGATACCGCATGCATGAGACTTTTTCATAGCCTAGCTAAAACAAAGGGTAAACAGAAGATTGCCTGTGGTTATAGTAGAGAAGTTGTCTGCAGAGGAGAGCAGTGGTCCAGCAAGCAGGCAGAGATGTGGTCAGCAATAGCCAAATGAATAGTCCAGGCAGCAGACAGGAACATAGTCCAAAAAAAGTCCTGGATCATTACAGGCAGCAGGCAGAGCTATGGTCAGCACAGCCAAAGTACTGGTTCAGGTAGCAGGCAAGAACATGGTCCATAAAAAGTCCTGGGTCATTACAGGCAGCAGACAGGGATATGGTCAGCACAGTATTGGTCCAAACAGCAGGAAGGAACATCAGGCTTAGTTCCTTGGTCAGGTAAGACCTGGCCACAGGGGTAGAGGCTTCGTCCCACCCAATCTCTTCGAAGCCTCTGGACTAACAGACCCTGATCCGGGAATTACAAAACCCAGTGAAAACCAAAAACTGTTTTTCTCTACTCTGAAGCCCCTCAACATATGAGAGGTCCCTGTGTTATCCTGCATCCCAATACTACAGTAGCAGGGCAAAAGATCAGATCAAGCGGCAGGCAAAAACATGGTCGATTAACAGGCCGAGGTCAGTGCAGGTGGAAGGCAGAAACGTGGCTTGGAAACAATTCAGACGGCAGGCAAAAGCATTGCCAGTAAACAGGCCAGGGTCAGTTCAGGTGGAGGGCAGAAAAAAAGGTTTAGAAACAATCCAGACGGCTGGCAGAGGCAGTCGATAAACAGGTCAGGGTCAGTTAACGTGGAAGGCAAAGGCATGGTCAATGATCAGCATGGATTTTAGAAGCTGGGAAATGGCAGGCTGGTAAAAATAAGGGGAAATAATATTTTAGTGACGTGTGATAACGTCGGAAGCAGTCTCTGGTACATAGGCCAGGTTGGGAGGGACATTGGGGACAATGAACACTGGTGTCTCTCCTAACTCATCTTCTGCCGCAAGGCCAACATTTTTTTTGGCATCTTCTTCTTGATTCTGTGGGTGGAATGTTTTCTGGAAAATGTTGCTCGTGAAGTCTGCTCACAAAATCCAAGCAAATGTTTTCTGGGGGGGATCCTTGCTGGTAGATCGGGGGGCAGTGATAATTTCTTCTATATATTTGAGGTAGGTGGTGGGCCTTTCTGTTGACTTTTGTTAGATGACAAACGCATTGTAAATGGCCAAATGGAAAAAATAAATTGCAACTTTTTTATACCAGAAGAGGGCTGTACTGACAGATCCACTGATGATGGCACTGACAGATCCACTGATGGGCTGTGTACTGATGGGCGGCACTGACAGATACACTGATAGGTCCACTAATGGCTCCACTGACAGATCCACTGATGGGCTGTGCACTGATGGGCTGCACTGATTGCGGCACTGACAGATCCACTGATAGGTCCACTAATGGCTCCACTGATGGGCTGAACATGTCAGGGCAGGGCTGTGGAACGGACAGGTAGGCCTAGTGGCAGGGAAACGCACTGGCTGACGACAACCACCACCAACAGACTGAAGTCCCTCAGGGCGCGGAGTCTAAGTCCCAGGCTGCCCTTCACCTGGGCCCCTGATGGTGGGGATGGACTTGACGCAACCAGGGACCAGGTCGCGGCCCCCGAGACACCCCAGCTGCGGTAATGGCCGCCGCCAATGGCGTGTAGTTGGTGAGAATGACAATAGACAATAGTCAGACAAGCGGGTCAATCAACAAGCACGGGACAAAACAGTACAGAACAAAAGTACAAGTAGACAGAGAATCACAGGTCACGGGCCGGGTTCAGCAACAGAAGGTCAGATCAAAGGGAAACGCAGAGAATGGTCTTGTCACAAGCCG